TAAAATGCGCCGTAAACAAAAATCTTGGCGCCATTATAGTGTTTCAGAAACACTATACAGGGTGTTTTTTCGGGAGCTTTAGTTAAACGATTCTGGGAAAGTAAAATAGGTAGGTTTTTAAAAATTTGTATGTAGGAGTTACTCCGAAGGCCGAAACGATGTAAAATATTTTCAAAATGGACGCACTTCCGGAAATAACTTTGGAAAACTCTAAGTTAGACCCTCCACTTTTTAAAAATTTTTTATGGCTTAACCGTAATGGCGCTAGCTTTAATTCAAGTGGCGCAATTGAGCTCATAACCAGATGTATCAAGTGGCACAAATACCGGTAGCAAAATGCGTTATGGGGGATTTCGTTCACTTGCCCCCCCCCCTCCAATATATTTAAGGATAACCAAAAAACAATAATGGCGCAAAGATATCTTTTTACGGCGCATTTCAGCGCATACCTGAGAGTACAATTTCGTATGAAAAGGTGTTAAAAAAAAGTAACTTTAAAAAACGTTAAGTTGGCCCCCCCACTTTTTGAAAATTTGTCACGGCTTAACCGTAATGGCGCTAGTTTTAATTCAAGTGGCGCAATTGAGCGCATAACCAAATGTATCAGGTGACCTAGTTACAAGGGACAAAATACGTACTGGGGGGGGCTACGTTCACTTGCCCCCCCCCCCAATGTTTTTTCGGATTTCTAAAAAACGATAATGGCGCAAGAGTTATTATCGGTGGCGCATATGAGCGCATAACGAGCGCATTCATTTCAAAATAATACGACTATCAAATCTCTCAGTGGGGGGGCCAAGTTAACGGACCCTGGGGAGCAACGATCTTCAAGAAACGTTTTTCCCATTGCCTATGTTCGGTTTTGAAATATTCACTCGATAGAAATTCAAACAAATTCAAATTAATTCAGGGCAGTTCAGAATAATTCACATTAATTCAAATTAATTCACGTTATTTCAAATTAATTCACGTTAATTCAAATTAATTCACCTTAAATAAAATTAATTCACGTTAATTCAAGTTCCATGGCTTAACATGATTTTTCTCATTGGATTTATTGCCGAATTTTTGATA